AGCCTAGGGTTTTTGAAATGAAGACAATTATCACCTCAGATGGGGTATACACATGCAAAATTCCGTCACCTCTCAGAGACCTGAGGAGGTGACAGGTTTAGATAAGAAGACACTTTGAACCTTGGATGACAGTTTCTTACTTTCAATGCTTTTGTGCTTTATTTAAATGGCAGCTATACTCTAAAAGGTTGTAGTTTTCTTTAAATTGTGAAGCTTTCTTCCTAGATTCTACAGTTTTTATTTCTTAGGTTATTTTAAAACAAGAACAAGGTTTTTTCCCCTATTGTTTGATCTTGTTTCTAGCATAAAAGTGATTTGAGTCCTTTTCTGTTTCTCTCTAAAGAAACACCTTTGATTTTTATTTAAAACACGAATTTTTAGAGTAAAAGTAACCTTAAGGGTCATCTGCTTCAATTCCATTTCACAGATGAAGATAATGAGATTCCAAGAGGAAACAATTGAATGGCAAAACATAGAGTGTGGAAGATGGGTCAGAGGACATACTCACTTTTCTCTAGATGAGAGAGTGTACCTTTGTTTATTTTTTCAGTACAGGAGTTTGAACTAAGGCCTTGTACCTACTAGGCAAGTACACTATTATTTGAGCCAACTTCCTGCTAGCCCCTTTTAGCACTGGTTATTATGTTTTTTTGTTATGGTCCTGGGATTTGAACTCAGGGCCTAAGTAATGTTTCTATACATTCTCTTTGCTCAACGCTTATGCTATCGCAGTTGAGCCACAGCCCCACATCTAACGTTTTAAAAGGTAGTTAATTGGTGATAAAGATCTCATGGACTTCCTGCTTTACCTGGCTTTGAACCATGATCCACAGAGATCGGCTTCCTGAGTAGCTAAGATTATAGGTGTGAGCCACTGGTGCCCAGCTCACTAGTTATTTTTGAGATAAGGTCTTGCTTCATGCTTAGACCAAATCCTTGTATTTGTGTGTGCCTCTGTTGCTGGGATGACAGGCAGGAACCATTGCATTCAGTCATTAGTGGTGATGGAGTCTATGTACATTTATTTTTGCCTGGCTAGCTTCAAATCATGATTTCCCTATCTCTTACTCCCAAGTAATTAGAATTACAGGCTAAAGCCACTGTGCCCTACTCTTCTTTTATTTTCTTGGGACCATAAACTTTATTCATTCACTCAAAAATACATTAGCATTTACTGTGTACTAGATACTGAAGATACAGTGGTGAACAAGGTATATAAAACCCTCTGTACAGTATGTCCACAAAAAAATTAAATTAAATTAAAAAAAACCCTTCCACAGAGGACTTTATAATTAATTGGAAGAGATAGACAATAAACAATCAGATTCCTCAGCTTCTATTAATATGTACTTGATCTTAGAGCCTGTTCCTTAACTTTTGGGTCTATTGATACTTTTATTTTCTCCATTACTTCCTGGTCTCACTTTTCTTCTTTATCTCTCTTGTGGGTATAACATGAAAGAAGGAAGATAACCATGTCATTTTCATTTTTCTGTATATTTCAGGATCAGGGTAAAGCTTTGAATTTGCTAAAGTCAGGTTTTGTACCAGTGTAACGTAAGAGTGAAGATAAGTATTTTTCATCAACACTGCACTAGTGGGCTGGCTTAGCTGTCAGCTCATTTGTGAGATGACAAAGAAGTACTGGATGTAAGAGTTGTACTATTACCTTATAATTTATCTGTTTTTTAATACAGTTTTAGTTGTGCTGAACCCCACTGTACTTGGATGCTTTGACAGGTGTACTATTTTAGTAACACAGAACAAAACAGAGACAGAAAAGAAGAATACATGGTGTGCTTGTGCTGTCAGATGTGGGTTGCTCTATTCTTAAGTTTGTGGATGATTTGTTCAGAGTTGCTCAGGGACAACAAAAGGTTAGGATTTGTTTTTAACCTATGTAACACTGAGTGTTCTCACAGTTCCCTTGGGAGGTGGTGGGAGGTGGGATGTTATTTCTATGGACACGTGTAAGAGGATACTGTTCCCTGTCTTATCTTTTCCTATTTGAAATGTCACCATTATAATTAATTTTTCAGAGATAACAATTTGCTTCTGTGAAGAGTCTAGTGTGGACTAACTTATGAAGTTTTTTTTAGGGGGAGGGTAAGTTTTCCTGAACTCTTTTTGCTCAAGGCTAGTGCACTACCACTTTGAGCCACAGCTCCACTTCTGATTTTCTGGTGGTTAATTGAAGATAAAAGTCTCCTAGACTTTTTTGCTCAGGCTGTCTTCAAACAGCAATCTTCAGATTCTCAGCATTCTGAGTCGCTAGGATGGCAGGCATGAGCCACCAGTACCTGGTCTTATGAAGTTTTTTAACAGGAATAAGATCAATTCTTCCATAACTCAAAGCATTCAAAGGGCTAAGAGAGAGCTGGGCAAAAACCTGAGGTGGGATGCTGATGAGATAATCTTTGCTCAGTTCCTTAGAGTCATATGAGAAGCCATTGTGCCATTCTGGTTGTCACTTCAACATCATTTGATTATTCATTCTTAGTGTAGAAAATGACTGTAGGAAACTTTTGTTTACACTTTAGTTACTAAGGATGAACAATTTTCAGTCAAGTTGTTTTCCAGGGTTTTCAGGACAGAGAAAGGACAACACCTCCCTATGTGCTTATTCTTTCCCTTTCTGCCTCTCCCTCAATATGAATGACTGTTCAGCTTTAAGCTTTCCTCTGGTAAAATTAGAGGAAGTTGTTTGGGAAATATTACTTAGCACGTTTTGAAATAAATGTAACACTATTTTAGAGAAGGAAATAAAAAATCGTTTAAATAGGGATACAGGTGGACCCATTGCAACAATGAGATGTACAAGTCGTTATGTTGGAAAACGAACTTTACAACTGGCCGGGGGGGGGTGGGAAGAAGGGTAGGGGTGGGGGGAGCGGGGTATGGGAAGGGATAGGAAGGGGAAACAAAGGAGGAAGCAAAAATGCTTGATAAGAAATGTAGTCATTATCTTGCCCATGTAATGGTAACTCCTCTGTACGGTATTTTCATAATACAAATTTTTTAAAAATTTTTTAAAAAAGTTTTTTTTTGGTCAAAAATTAGCTACCAAAAATCATTCTCTAGAACCAAGAATGAAAGTTACATTACATGGAGTGGGAAGCTCAGGTAATAGAGCACCAACATGTGACTAAAAGTATAAGACCCTGCGTTCAAGTTGTGGTCCTGGTGAAAAGGTACATTACAATGATCAATACTTACACAATGACTTAAAAGAGATTTTAGGAATAAAGTGCTGAAAATCAAGTCCTGTATACCAGAGAAAACATACAAATCCACATAAAGACAAAGCACCAACTTCACATAATCCAATCCATTCTCTCACCTAGAACATATCAAGTAAATATTGGACATCTTTGGACATAACATTGGGTGTTTTGTACTTCAGCAAGTACTTTGGGATCTTGAATAAGGTGTTAGGGAAAAATAAGCAGTATTTGTGGATGGGCACCAGTCTCATACTTCTAATTCTAGTTATTCAAGAGGCCAAAATTTTAGGCTTGTAGTTTGAAGCCAACCAGGGCAGACAAGTCAATGAAACTTTTATTTCTAATTAACCACCAAAAACTGGAAGTGGATCTGTGGTTCAAGTGATAGAGCATTAGCCTTGTGCAAAAAAAGCTCAGGGTCAGTGACCAGGCCCTGAATTCAATCCCCAGGTCTGCAGAAAAAAAGCCAGAAGTGGAGCTCTGGTTTAAGTGGTAAAGCACTAGCTTTGTGCAAAAAGAAGTGCAGGAACAGCACTCAGTCCTGGAGTTCAATTCCAGGACTGCAAAAACATCAATATTTAGTTAAGAACAATATTATACAGGGAGCTAGAAGGTGGCTTAGTGGTAGAGTGCTTGCCTCGCATGCATGAGGCCCAGAGTTCAATTCCTCAGCACCACATAAGCAGAAAAAGCCAGAAGTGGCTCTGTGAGTAATTGAGTGCTAGCCTTGAGCTGAAGAGCTGAGGGACAGCGCCCAGGACCAGAGTTCAGGCATCACAACTGACAAAAAGAGCAACAAAAGTTTATTCAGGAGGCTGGGGGTGTGGTTCAATGGCACTATGCTTCATGTGTGTCTCTGGATTCTTTATTCCTAGTATTGTAAAAACTAAAAATAAAAAGATTGCTCAATTGGACAGTAAGATGTGGTGGTTCATATGCAGCATGGGATAGGAAGCAGGAGGACTGGATATTGGTGGCTGGCTGGACAAAGTTAGTGAGGTGCTTAACTCAAAAACAATGTACTAACCAAAGAGCTGGGGCATGGCTCAAGTGGAAAAGTGTTAGTAAGCATGTGCAAGGCACTGGCTTCAATCTTCATTACCACAAAAAAAAGAAAAAGACTGTTGAAGAGAATCATATGAGGCAGGAAGACAGAGTAGAAGAACTTACTCAAGGGCAGTGTTCAGTTGTGATTGCATGTTAATAGTTCTAGTGTTTTTAACTGTATTTTTTTGTCTTTTCTTTTTTGGTACTGGGGATCAAACCCAGGATGTTGCACTTACTAGGCAAGCACTTTGCCACTGAGCTACATCCCAGCCCTAGTTCTAGTGTTTTGATCATAGAGCTTTTATTCTTTTTACTTTGTCAGTTTCACTTTGTCCCACAGTATGACATGTAAATTTGTCTGTATCAACTCCTTCGGAAACTAGTTAAGCCTTGCTTGGTGACTCTAAAGGTAGCAGGCTAAGGAGGATAGAATGATTACTAAGGGTTTTAACAAAATCTGTTTGCATTACCAGTATAACTCAAATCTCCTGAGGTTTCTCCAAGGTTTTTGTCCTTTCCACTTGAACCCTGTGTTGGAATTTGAGCAGATGATCAAATGCCATGGCAATTTCTATGGGACATTAGTTGCTAAATTGCTGAGTTCATTTTAATTGAAGTGTGAGAAGACAGGTAGACAACATCCTGTTCTTTGAGCTCTCTCTCTTGCTCTTGCTCTCTTTCTCTCACATACAAACATGCGCACGCGCACGCGCGCGCACACACACACACACACACACACACACACACACACATCTGGCTGAACTGGGAGTCAGGTGGCTGATTTGTGCCTGGCGGCAACAGCACCACTAATATTTCCTTTTTACCATCTCTGTCCTTGGCCCTCTTGAATACATCAAGCCATGGAGGCAGTGACTGTGTATCATGGCAAGATCAGCCGGGAGACTGGGGAGAAGCTACTGCTTGCCAGGGGACTTGATGGCAGCTATTTGTTGAGAGACAGCGAGAGTGTTCCAGGAGTGTACTGCTTGTGTGTGCTGTGAGTACATTATGGTGGTAGCCTGGCTACATGTGTGGCCTGGGACTGCTGAGGGTGGGGGTAATACATATGTTTTTTTTTATCAAGGCAGGAGGAAGCACAGGTGGCCATAGCTCATGGAGGCCTCTTCCTCCCCACATCCATGGCCCTAAGACTTCCTTAGATTGAACGGAGGCATATGGTGACCATGAAATGGCCTATGTGCTGAACAGGACTTTTATGGATTGTGTGGAATGCCCTTCACAGTGGGAAAATGTGCCCTGGAATTTTCTTTCATTCTGAGAAACATCACTGCTCTGGATTACTGTTTTGATGTCTAGTAGAGGCCACAAGCAGATTTGGACATTTTATCCCAAAGGAAGAGAGCAGTAAATTCGGGGGAGACAGAAAAGTAAGAAATGGAGCCCATTACTTTAAGAATGTAATACCAGTTAGATCAGGATGCTGGTGTGTGTGTGTGTGTGTGTGTGTGTGTGTGTGTGTGTGTGTGTGTGTGTGTGTCTGCCTCTCTGGATCTGCTGAGTTAGTTTCCATTACTGGAGTTGTATAGTGGGTAAAAGGTTTCAGAAGTATGACCCTTTTCAATAAAAGCCAGAACTGACAAGAATTGTAAAGAGCATAGATGGAAAACACCCTTGTTATGATTCAGTCTTGCTCTTTGCTTAGGCAGTTTTGAATAGGAACTCGAATCTTTGCTCCAGACCTCCAGAAGCTGGCAGATTTGAAGCCTAATTTTCAGTAATAGATGCTAGGGTGTGATACCAGCAAATGAATCTCAGAGTTTCTCAGTTTTCTTATCTATCAAATGGGCATCATTTTAAAAACTATGTCATTGTGAAGGGTAAACCAAAGGAGGAGGCTGCAATGCTTGGTAAGAAATGTACACATTATCCTGCCCATGTAATTGTAACCCCTCTGTACAGTATGTTCACAAATAATAAATAAATAAAAAATAAAAACTATGTCATGAGGATTAAATGCCATAATGTATGTGAAAAGGTGAGCATTGGACCAGACTCAGTGCATGTTCAGTAAATCTAAGCCATTTGGCAGTATTATTACATTTTTATCTTTTTAGAGGATATATTTTAGTACTCATAGAGACATTTCTGAAGGAGAAACCAGTTTGAGCACTGTCAGCAAGATAAAAATACCTAATCTTAACCATTAAGTTCTGGACAGAAACAAAACAAAGAAAGATTTTTGTACTGAGTTCAGTACTTAATGATTCTTTCTGGTTCAAAGAAAAAAAATACTATCAATTCTGTTAGAGGATTTTCATTTTATGTTTCTTTAAACATAATGGTCTTGAGCTGGGTACTAGTGGCTCATGCTTGTAATCCTGGCTACTCAGGAGGTTGAGATGTAAGGATTGCTGTTCGAAGCTAGCCTGGACAGGAAAGGCTGTGAGACTCTTTTTATTTTATTTTTATTTTTTGTTAGTCACGGGATGTGAACTCTGGGCCTGGGCACTGTTTCTGAGCTCTTCAGCTAAGTGTTCTACCACTTGAGCCACAGCTTTACTTCCAAGGCTGTGAGACTCTTTAACCATCTAAAAAACAGAATTGGAGCTGTGGCGTAAGTGGTATAGTGCTAACATTGAGCACAAAAGCTCAGGGACAGTTCTGAGCTGTTGAGTAGCTCATGTCTTGAGTTCAAACCCTAGAACTGGTACCAAAAAAAGATTGTCTTGTTTGTGGCAGTTCTAAGCACACATTAAATAATTTTATTATAAAAACTTGAAAGCAAATGAGTGGAAGCCTCTGAATTTTTTCGATTTAATTTCTATGTGTATGTGTTTATGTAAATATATGCCTGTCAGTGGAGCCCAGGGTCTCAGCTGCTTTACCATTGACTGAGCTACATACACCTCCCAGCCCTATTCTGGATCTTTTGTTTTGCTTATGTGGTTGATTTTTCCAAATGAGACCCAAAAGAGCAAGGAAAGCCAACTGGGATTCTTAGGGTCCATAATATTCAATGCATATCCTATGAAACTAGGAAAAATGAGGGAAGGATTGGGTTGGGAGGGATGGGAGAGAAATATGGAAGAAGTGCCATTGATCAAGATGCATTGCAGTTAAATATATGTCTATGTAGATATATAATATATTGTTTATAGTATTATAGTATATATTATATGCATATTATACATATATACATCTATATTTATATACAATTTTTTTAAAGAAGAAGACTTACTGAAAGTGGCTGCTTTAGGAAAGCTAACAAAGCTGGAGAAAGCAATCTTTAACCTTGAGATAAATGTAAAGGTTCACAAGAAGCGTGAGTTAGGGGAGAGAGAACAGCAGACACTGTGTGACAGACACACCAAAGGCTACAACCTCACTGGTCCTCCAGACATTACTGAAGCACTTATGGTCTCTACTTTCAAATGTACATTCGGTTCACACAATAAGTGTGAAATTCTCAAACATTTAAGTTTCTACCCAAAGTGGCTAGTTTTTTACCTTTACTCCTCTCCGAAAATGTCCTCATGAAGTAGCATAAAGTAGTAAGCAAGTTGGGAGTTCCCTTCCTGTGTCTTTTGATGGTGCCCTAGTGCTTCAAAGATTTTTAACGTGATAGCCAGACTGCTGCAGAGGCAAGTCACAAGGACACATGACCTTCTATCCATTTCTTCACCTTATAAAGCCAAGGTCCTTTTAGATACATATAAGCACTTTATTACCTCTTATTGGTACTACACTGTGACTACAAAATTTTGTTTTGGAATAATCCATGTAATTAGTTTGATTGCAGATTTGACTCCATGGTTTCTCACTCTATCTTTTTTTCATTCCTTTTAACCACAAAGATTTGAGTGGGCTTTAGTTTTTGTGTTTTTATTGTAGAGATAACACGTCATCGTCCTTTCAGACTGTACTTTAAGTTGTACTTTCAAACCAGGCTTGTCCCTTTGTTCAGTTCTAAATGTCTCAATCATGGTTTTCAGATATAGCTTTTTAGTCTATTCAGTTTTAGAAAGTAAAATCTCATAAAGCAAAATGGAAGTTTTTCATTTATACACTTGCTCACCTTCATTTAAAGTGAGAAATTTTTCTTTCAATTATTTTCTCTAAACCTAGATTTTTTTGTATAAGCCTATTAAAAATGCTTCATTATACTTGATCATGTTAGAAAATTTGAAAAACATAGAGAATGGCCTGAACAAGAAATCATCTATAATTTTACAATCTAAAGATAACTACTATTAAAATTTTAGTGAATATTTTGCATTTGTTGTTAGTGTATATATGCTTTTATCATATATTTTGTGGTTTTCCCATTAGGTATGAAAAAAATCCTCACAATATTCTTAAAAATAATTTAAAGGTTGGGTGCCCATAATTCATGCCTATAATCCTAGCTACTCAAGAGGGTTGAGATCTGAGGATTGTGGTTCAAAGCCAGCCTGAGCAGGAAAGTCTGTAACACTCTTATCTCCAGTTAACCATCAAAAAGCTGGGAGTGGAGGTGTGGTTCAAGTGGTAGGGCACTAGCCTTGAGCAAAATAACTCAAAGACAGTACCCAGGCCTTGAATTCAAGCCCCAGGACCAGCACCAACAAAAAATGATAATAATTTGAAGGGAGTAGAATAGCTGTGAGATAGTGAATATATATTTTTGTCATAATCTTTTTGACATTTATATCATTCCATTTTAAGATTATTTTACCATAGTTAATATTCCAGAATATAAAAGTTTTCTTGAGGGGCTGAGAAGGTGGCTCAGTGGTAGAGAGCTTGCCTTGCATGGATGAGGCCCTGGGTTCGATTCCTCAGCATCACATAAATGGAAAAAGCTGGAAGTGGTGCTGTGGCTCAAGTGGTAGAGTGCAAGCCTTGAGCTGAAGAGCTGAGGGACAGTGCCCAGGCCCAGAGTTCAGGCCCCACGACTGAAAAAAAAAGTTTTGTTGCTTCTGTGACTGTTTCCTTATGTAATTTCTAGGTCAGAAAATACAAACAATTTCAGATTCATAACACATATATGATTATTACACTAAGTTTCAAAATGGTTATTCCAATTTATATATTTATCAGAAAGGTACCTACCCTAAAATTGGGTAAACTTGCTAAAAAATAATTCTACTTCACATTTGGTATACTATTATTTATTTTGTGTTTACACTTATCTTTTAATTTGTCATGTTTTAGTTTTCATGTTTAGCAATTGCCATTTTATATGAGTATTAAGTGATTCTATTTTTTAAATTTGCAATTCTATTTCTTAATTCATGAATTGGCTCTTTGTGTTTGGCTATGTGTATACTTTCTCACTTAGTTTATGTCTTACTGTTTTTCTTAATGCATTATAATCTTTTTGCATACTAACCTTCATCTGCTATATACTTTCTTTTTCTTTTTTGGCATGGTAGTACTAGGGCTTGAACTCAGGACCTGTCTCTTTTGCTTGGCTCTTTTGATCATGGCTGGTATTCCACCACTTGAGCCATACCTGTAGCCTTGCTTTTTTTCTTTCAGAGATGAAGTCTTCTGAGCCCTAGCTTCCTGAATAGCTAGGAATAGAAGTATGAACCACTGGCAGCTGGGTGCTATTACCCTTTTTTTTAAGGTCTAATCTTAGGTGCTGGGATAAATTTTTTTATTGTGAAAATACAATATAGAGGGGTTGCAATTACATGGGCAAGATAATGAGATAATGAGTACATTTCTTATCCAGCATTGTTGCCTCCTCCTTTGCCATTATCTTTTTTGACACACAAGGTTTAACTTTGTACATCTGGGGATGTAGTTCACTGGAAAAGTACTTGTTTAACATGCACAAGACCCTGGGTTCCAGCCTCTATGCCACAAGAAAGTAAGAAAACAACAAACATTTTAGTAGTCAAATTTGTCACTCATTTTCTTTGTTTTTAATTTCTTTATCTCTCAGTTTGGGAAATCCTTTCTCCTTCAGAGATATTGTAAAACTTCATTTCTGATTTGTAACAAATTTGTTTTGTTAATTTACACTTAACCCTTTAATGCCATTTGAAA